GGACTCCCGAATGCGACCAGGCATTTCAAAACTTGAAAAACTACATGAGCCAGGCACCGCTGTTATCGAAACCGCTCCCAGGAGAAGTACTACTCTTATACCTTTCGATATCAAATACTACCGTTAGCTCGGTATTGATACGGAAGCCGGAGAAAGCAGAACTACCGATTTTCTATGTCAGCAAGGCACTCCAAAGCGCAGAGCTTCGGTACCCACCCTTAGAGCAGTTAGCACTGACCCTGGTCGTCTCGGCGCGAAGGTTTCGCCCATACTTACAGGCGCACGACTGTTCTAACAAACCAGCCCCTTCGGCAGGTACTCCAAAAGCCAGAAACGTCGGGCCGATTGGTCAAATGGGCAATCGAGTTGGGGGAGTTTGACATACAGTTCAAGCCAAGGCCTGCAGAAAAAGGTCAGGTCATCGCCGACTTCATCTCCGAGCTCATACTTGCACTATCAGAATCACCCTTTCCGAGCGCTATCCTTACTGCGCCAGAGAGAACGGATGCCGAGCGTTTTGACACTTCCGTTCCTCTCTGGATTCTACACGTAGACGGCTCGGCAAACCAGCAAGGCTGTGGTGCCGGCTTGGTGTTAACCACTCCGAACGGTGGCAAAGTTGAGTATGCCCTCCGATTCAACTTCCGGACCTCCAATAACGAGGCAGAGTATGAGGCTCTCTTGGCCGGCCTTCGGCTAGCCAAGAGCATGAGCGCAAAATAGATCAGCATTCACAGTGACTCCCAGCTCATAGTGAATCAGATAACGGCAGACTTCGCGGCGAAGGATGCCTCTATGCCAGCTTACCTATCGGCAACTCACCAACTACTGAAAAAAAATTTCAGGGTTACGAAATACGGCAGATCCCCAAGTCAGTGATGCGCTCTCGCGTTTAGCTTCGGCGATAAACGACAAGATCGGAAGGAAGGTGCCGCTGGAGATATTATCCCAACCAAGCACGACGGCGACTGAGGTGTGTAACGTTCGGTACGAATACATATGGATGTCTCCAATCTATGCTTTCCTGGCAAACGGAACCCTTCATACCGATAAGTCCCAAGCCAGGAAACTCCGTTACCGATCGGCAAGATACACAGTCATCAACGATGTTCTGTACAAGTAAGGCTACACGGCGCCGTATCTAAAATGCCTAACCAAGGAACAGGGGGACTACATCCTTCGGGAGG